CTGGCCCACAGACACTGCTGGCATATTATGCCCTTAAATTCCAAGTTTACCTCAAAATCAAAGGGAAACCAGTTTTATAAAGTTCTAATCATGTATCTATAATATACACCTGAGAAACAAAGGAGTCAGAGAAGAATGGAATGATCCAATTGCTTTTACCAGTCACATAAACCAAAAACATTTCTGTCTAAAGAACTAACAGCATTAGTTTGAGAGAGAGAGAGAGAGAGAGAGAGAGAGAGAGAGAAAGAGAGAGACTGACTCAAAAGCTGCAAATTTTTCTCAGTTGATATTATGGAGGAATTCTTATGAGGCTACAAGTTCAAGTCCAGACAGACCCATTTGGGAGGCCCTATCTCTGTCCTATTCAATCACACAGGCGTCTTTGTCCACGAGAGAGACTGGATAAAAATAATGGGGTTGATGAGAGCAAGTCCAGGGCCAGCATGGGGGATGGGAGAGGGTTACTTCAAAGAGCAAGATTTTCTGTAGGTTGGCTCAATGGCCTTGTCTTACTGAAACTGGGTTGTTCTCATGTTTTTATGAACAAGAAATTTCTGGGATCATTTCAAAAAAACATATCTGCGTAAGGGCCATACACTTGTGGTATCAGTCATGCAAGAACAACAGCTCCTGAAGGGCCATGCGGCATGGCTCCCTGGGCCACTGGAATAAGTAAGCTGTTAGTCATAAGAGGCCTAAGATATCTGTAGGGGGGATGGCAACGGCGCCCGCTTATTCTTATTGTGATCCTTTCCCAACTTTGTAGCAGTACAATTAAGAATGAGTCCAACAGAGGAGTCTGGGGGCTCTACGGAACTTTCCCATGCTTTCTTCCGACACCCACATGCAGATCTGAGATAGAACGTGCTTTCTAAAAGTTGACTTCTCTTGTGCTTAAGGTAAAGAGGAAAAATTTTTACCCTTAGCTTCAAAAAGTATACAACTTAGATTAGAAAATTTAAAGTAACTTGTCAGTAAATCACACTAAGTAGTTCCTTGCACTAAAGTGAAAAGACACGCTGCCTTAAAAATCTTGCTCAAAATATAAGCCATAGTCTCCTCTACCCTTGAATTAATTATTTCTGTGATTGTTTTCAAAGCTACACAGGAATGTGATGTACAGTGATTTAAGTGTGAGCTTACTGATCAGACATATCCGCCTTAGATCCTTAATTTCAGATGTCAGCAATGATAAGAAGAATCAAATTGTAGCTGTTTGTAAGTAAATACAAACATGGGAGGAGGTTACAACAAAGGTATAATAGGTATAATTCTGTCCATCAGAAATCCAAATGTTGATTCCCTGAAAGTGAAAACCACACACTAGAACTCAAAGCCCAATGAGCTGTTTGAGATAAGGAAAAAAAGAACCCGAAACATTTGAATAGCAATGTCCAATAATAGAAATAGGAAAGATGAAATGCAAACAAACATCCTCCTTTCCCACCTTAAAGTCGATCCTCGGGAAGATCACAAAGAAACACACATGCAGCCAGCAGCCAGGCTGGCCAGGTGCACTGTGGTTGGTAGAACCCAGCTGCAACATTTGTCGTTTCCTGCACTAAGCCGGCTGCTTTTCCCTCCCCTGAGCAGCTGAGAGAAATGAGATGTTTCTCTTCAAAGGTGTTAAACATTTGGGCTGTGTGAGGGACAAATGGAAGCCTGACACCTAAGATGAATAACCACAGCGCTCTAGGTCAGTGGGAACTTTCACTGTGTGAAAGCCAGCCAGGCTCGCTGCTCACACGGTATTCAGGCACATGAGCCACGAGCATGGGGACCCCACAGAGGAGGTAGCAAACTATTTTTTTCTCTTTTAATGTTAACCTTTACCATTTGCTGACAGGGATTTTCATAAATAAGACTCAGAGAAAGAATGGCTTGCGGGGGGGGATGCTTTTAATACACTCGCCAGGCTCTTGGCTCGGACATATTTAACAGGCTTCTGCATCCTCGCGCTCTCTACGAAGGCAGCCAAGGTTTACTGTGCTTCCAGAAGTCATACTGACACCAAATGCGTTATCAGTACAGGTACATTTTCATTAGGTCCATTTTGTCTGAAGTAAGAATTCTTATTTACCATTTTGTGAGACGCCCATTTGTACGTTTTGTGGTATAGACACACCTCTAAGAATTCCAGTTTTGGAAGAATATAATTAGCCCATTAAAATTTTCCTTCTGAAGGAAAAAAAAAAAGCTGGATTTGAGAAGGTGGTTCTCCTGAGTAGATAATACTACACTCAGGTCATAAGTAAAAGCTCTTCGATCATACGCATGTCAGCGTTTGTGGAAAAGAAGAGGAAAAGCATACAGAATTGTTAGAATGAGCTACGGGCAGAAACATCTCTGTGCGTGCCAGTGGCCCTAAACTGCTATTCTCCAGATTACCTGCAGTTACTACAAATGGAAGATTCTGTGTGGGGAAAGGGGCAGTCTAGGCCTTCCCCCACCCCCAGATGTTTTTCTAGCCCTAACACCTGCAGACCTAAAGTGCAGTAAACAAGCAGTTGTTTATAATGCAAATTCAAGTAACTGGGATGCCTCCGGGCTGCTCCCACCGTAAGCCCAAACACAAATGGTCACCCTGCTCCCTGACACCCCAGATAAAAACCTATCACTGTGGATGTCAGTTACACACACGCTGGCTAGCTCGCTCTGCTAAGGACCGAGTTAGCAAGAAGGCAGAAGTGTGGTTAAGGGTGAAGGAGAGAGGCTGCCTTCCGGTTAGTGTTTTGGGTCTCAGACGCGTTAAAAAACAGCTGTTAGGTATTAAAAACCCAAGATTGCAACTCACTTCGGTTGAACCTTAAACAAAAAAAAAAAAATTGGACATAGCCTTGTGGTTAAAATTGAAAAGCTTCTGGAACTGTGCAAAACTGCAGAATATCTGCAAGAAAATGTGCCTAAAATAAAATGTCCTAAAATGTAACAGAATAAAGCAAAGCAGCAGATAACAGGGTAGAGTAACTACTTCCTGACCACACCCCTCTCTTCCACTCTACACCAACCAACATTTATTCTGGCCACAAATCTTTCCTAAACAATGAATGGCTGTTCAATTCACTGACCTCAAAATTTGAATACATACACTAACAATAAATACTGTTTATTTTCTATCAAAATTTCAAAATGATTAATATGGGGGGGAGCAAAAGCTGGAGAGAAATGCTGAAGGCAGAAAATGCTGATTGAAAGAGAAAGAGAAGCTTATTTTTCAATATTAGTAGGGATCATCTATAAATACCAATAGATTTTTTTTTCCTTATATTGACTTTAAAAATTATTTTGAAAAGAGAAGTAGCTAAACTATGGAACAAATGCCACAAGTACTTATTAAGCGTTAACTGTGCATAGCTGAAAAGTATAAGACTGTTTTGGTGGCTATTTCCTATTGTTTAACAAGTCAGAGACTGTAATCTAGATTTGTGAGAAAGATTATTTGCTGTTCTAAAAAGCCTTAACAGAAATCTTCAATTATTCCTTATCTAAATCATATTCTCCACCCCCTTCAAAAAAACCAAACCAAACCAAATATCCCCCCTGTAAAAGAAATATCTGATATGTTTGTATGTTCAGTTCAACAAATATAGAGTCTCCTACAAATTTTAAAACTTAGAGAAGGATTTATTTGACAGTGGTCTCTAAATATTAAACTGTATTTGTTTTTACGCGCTCATTCACTTTTTAGGTAGGAGATTCATATTTACCACACAGGAATCTCTATCATTAAATATTTTAAAAGCCTTTTAAAATAAAATGTGAAATTGCTATTTCAACCATCACAAGATCTCCAAGGTCACAATTTTTGGCCGCGATATAAAAATTATAAAAATCTTAATCCCTACTCGAAAGTCAAGCATGTTTTTGAAATCTGTGGAAAAATAATGACAATAACTTCTAAATCACAGTGCCCACATAAAATATTTCTGTTTCACAAACCTATCATGTCAACAATTGAGTATCGTGGATAATCAAAATAAACACTCATACTCTTGACTATGAGTCATTCCTCTCTGCAATTTTGTGAATCTTCTCGACCCCAGATTCTGCTCAGGGAGGGATTAATGACAGTACTTTCCCCAAATGCCTTTCACTTAGTGGAAGAACTGGACTAATAAGGCAAAAATCATAGGTTCCTTTTTATGATCAGGATCTGACTCCGGGGAGGGACAGGTAGACTGAAACCCTAATCCCCAAGGCCCAGGCATACATGCTTTTCATGCACTTTTAGGTGGGAGAGGGAGACGGAATGAAGGTAAATATATTGATGGAGCACTAAACATCAATCCCCACACTGCAGGGCCGGTTCCCAGGGAGTACAATCGCCAGCACATCTCAGGTTCACCCACTACACAAGTTACCCTTTAGATGCTCTCTGAATGCAGAGATGAGGGAGGTTTCCCCTTCTCAGCCACAGAGAAACACGGTCACGTAACAGATCTGGACTTCTTCATGGTGCTATACATTTGCAACTCACATTTGCAACAATGGACAGTAGAGTAAAAATAGCTTGTCGCAACTGATTTTAAAAGAAACATTAGCTAACACAATAAAAGGAGGACTCTGTTTTAGAAGCTAAAGAAATATTTCGAATGTTCAGCTTCAAATGAGCCAAAGTGTTCTGATTCTACATAGCTTAAGGGCAATGCAGATACAACTGAAAGAGTAAATCAATTTTTCTTCTCATCAGCACAGAAAACACAATACTCATAAAATTATAAGTTTGTTGACTTAACTTCACTTGATTTCATGACAATTGGTGATCTGTTATTTATTAATCTTAACCAATAAAAAGCTAAAATTCCAAATACAAGACATCAAAGTTAGCACTCTTTTAAAGCAGCCATTCCTCATAACAGGTCTTATTTAGCAATGACTGGTCATATATAATGAAAGCATCTCCAATGTGCTTAAAAAAAACCAAAACCATTTTTTTTCCAAAATACAAATTAATGTGCTCTTCTGAAAATAATTTGTAACATCGGCATGTTACTCACTGTTCTCGGAATGGGTGGAGAGAGAGATCCATTTGACATGTATGGGTCATTATTCATATTTGGCATCATTATGTACCCGGAGTAACTCGAATAGGAGGGTCCCTTGTTGTAGAGGCCTCCGTCTGGATGCTTTCCTGAGAGAATCCAAAGAACAATTGATGATGCACTGGCTTCCTTTTTTACACATCACTGTTTTTTATCTGAAAAATCAACTAGTTCTATGACAAATGGGACCTTACACAAGAGTTGTTTACAAAATATTGTAACTGAATTATTATGCTCTATTTTAGATTGACAGTATTTATTCTCTTAAATGAAATTAGCAGTGAACCAGATGTTTTAAAAAACATGTGGTTCAATTTACTTCCACTACTGACTGGTGTTTTTACAAAAATAAGTGTTATCCATCTAACTTAATTTGTTCTAATACTAACAAACTGGACTAAGAAACAGAAACACATGAAAGAACACACACAAACCTAAAGCTACAATATAAACATATTAGGCCATTTAGCCATTGACACGAATATACATTTATACACTTAAAGTTATGCTCCACCTTATAGGCAAACTTGTAAATCCTACCTGTGCTTCAAGATTTCTAGAAAATTTCTAGTTTTTACAGGAGAGAGTTGTAACTAGTATATGGGCAACAACCCAAATTTATGAAGGATTAACTCCAGGAGACTTAATTTTGTGTGCTACACTTACATCATTTTGCCAAAGTAATTTGCATGTGTTCAGTATATACATTTCTTCTCTTTAATCTGTGTAACTACTTTGTAGCTCAGAAAGAAGCCTGATATTATAGTTCTCTTCCCTTCTTCTCTAGGTTGACATATTATACATACAAACACTTCGTTCTGGTCAGGCCAATTGTAAATAATTAAAGGAGAACAGAAAAGCCGGCTGTCCAACAAGGAAACCTTACAGATGCCTTGATTCTTTTAAAGTCACATGGAGTTCTCCTTAAATCTAAAAAATAGATACAATTTTTAAGCTTTGAGCAAGAATCAGAAATGGAGAGGAAGCCTGACTGTCATGTTTCATATGTATAGTCCCTAATTTTACAAATAAAGTTTTATATTTTTACAAGTTAGATTCTGCTTCACTGAGCCATATTTAGTCCATGCATTCTCTGCCTGCCTCCGCACTGTAAATAGAAACAGCAATTTAACAAATGAAAATCCATTTGAAACTATTCATGTTGGTAAATAAATTGGTTTAGACTGTCACTATAACAATGCGGGGGGTGGGGGGTGCTATAGGTCTAAGCCAATTAAAACTTTAGGTAAAATGAAGAAAAGAGGCAAACTCATTATTTCCTCTTCCACAAAGAATTTGGAAGCCAAATGAAATCCAAAGTGCCCTAACTCATTCAAATATAATTTTAAAATTCTGTAAGTATACATTAGAGATAAGCACTGTTTCCTGGGTTTTCTTTCCCATTTTGTTAAAATAGTGGGCATAGTATCATCACATCTGATCCTGTTTGTTTTTGTTGTTGTTGTTTTTAACTCGAAATAGCAAAACGTACCTACATTCACAAACTGCACTTGTTAAATGATAAAGTTGGAAGAAGTAGATTTAAGTCTTACCGTCATCAGGGTGTTCTCTGGCCTTGTCATGGTAGGATTCCTGCGAGGTTTGTGCTTGTCTGGCCACCTAACAGCATGAATCCCCATCCCCAAAAGAAAAAAAAAATCACCTTAGAGTTTGTGACAATACTGATATAAGTGTGTGTCCACTGGTGCAACTCAATCACCTGTTTTATTCATCTAAGAGGTGGAGGCTAGGGTTGAGTATTGGGAAATCTTTTCCTTTCCAACATGTATTTCTGAATCATTATTATCTACCGAGGACTACAAAGAGCACAAGTAATAAGAGGAAAAACAATATCAACATAGTAAATTTGGGAAAGATCCACATGCTGTTCTGACTGCTGTTTGCTAAAATGCATCAAGGCTGCTTGGATGCCTAATATGATAAGAGTGAGTTAATGGGGTTGATCGTTTTGATAGCTTCTTCAACCACTGTTCGCTTCAATCAGAGCTGATTAAAAGCTTGCTGAAATGTCACTTTACAACTGAAAATGACATTTTAAATAAAAACAAGTCAACCTCTCACAGGTGGGGGCTTAAGGCCATTGTCCCAAGCCAGTGCCAGCAGGAGCTCCACTCCATATAACCTACTATAGCCGGCTGAGTGCAAGCTAACCAGAGAAAAGTGAACTACTCTGTGGTTAAAGAAAGGAAGATTTGAGAGTCGGGTTATAGACATCTAAAAGGTAGCCCAGTTAATATCAGTTCTGGTAACCACCATCCACCCAGGCTCAACCACGTGCAAATCAGTGGTATTACCCCCTTCACCATCCTCCTTGGGACTGCCCCATGCCCATTTACCACCAGACAAACACTGACAGAGCCCAAAAACCTGGATTCTGGGCTTCAAATGCAGCAGAAACACGCAGAAAATGTGAAATGGTGGCAAGTTTATTTATGGAAGAAGGAAGGACAGCAAAATGGGTAGGAAGAAACAGAGGCGCTTCTACAAATATGAGAGTTTAGCCTGAGTGTTTTAGGGGTTATTTGGTTCTTTGGACATGTATCCCCCACCAATGACTTCTTGCCCTCAATATACACAGTCACAAACCATTCAAATGGGGTTGGGTGCACCCCAACTCCCTCCCTCCACCACGACGTCCCCTTCCCATTGGCATAACGGGGTGAAAGATTCAGAGGATAAAGACCACCCTTATAAATTGTCCTTAGAACTCAGGCCCCCCAGCCTTCAAAATGAGTACTCACCCCTGCCATTGGGATAAAGAAGGTAACTCTGAGGTGTTCTTAAACGCGTGTTTAAAACCCGAAATGCCCCCGCCCCCAAAACCACACGCTTTCTTTTTGGGGGCAGAAGGATGCCATTTAAGGAAAGCGGGTATAACCTCCAAGTTTCTTTGGAGGGAAAAATCGTTGATGAAATCATCGGAGTGTCAGAACTTTTCTACCGGATTTCCTCCAAAGCGTTTCCCAGCTGTTGAACGAGGGTGGCCAGTGGAGTGTCGGGTGTCAGGGTCCATCCGCCCACCCCACCCCCCTGCTGAAGCTTTCGCGCGGCCTGAAATAGCCCTTCCGCGGGGTCCCTGCTCCGGGCTTTCTCCCGCAGGCACCCACGTGGCTCTATTTACTCTACTCGAGTTACCGGCGCTATCGCCCGCCACTGGCCCGGGGATCTGATAAAGCGCTTTCCTCCATCCCCTGAGTGGGTGCCCTGGCTTCCGCTGCATCTCCACTCTGACTCGCCTGTCTTCTGTGTAGATTGAAGGCCTGATCCGGGCCCAAACTAACCCCAAATATAAGCGTCTTGGATTTTTGTTTTTTTAAGTGATGGGGGGTTGGAGAAAACCGCTGTTGCGGGAGGTACTGCAAGGGAGGCTCGGTTCCAGCGCGCCGAGGGCTGGGGCAACAGGCCTGCGT